AGAATTCAACATCCATTTATGATTTAAAACACACACACACACACACAAAACTCTCAGCAAAGTGGGTAGAGAGGGAGCACACCACAACATAACAAAGGTCGTTTATGACAAACCCACGGCTTTAACATCGGGCTCCATGGGGAGCAGCTGAAAGCGTTTCCTCTAAGATCAGAAAGAAGACAAGAGTGCCCACTCTCACCACTTTTATTCGACTTCTAAGTGAGAAGATGTCTCCGAACTAAATAACCACAAAGTTGGTCCAGACACACACAGTATGTCAGAGCCTGTGCCCGGAAGACCGAGAGTGCTGCTTCTTTTCAAGTGTAAGAAAAATGACCATGTGTCAGACAACAAAGCAAACCTAAGTCAAGTCTCAAAAGAATAGTTCAGAAGCAGTCTCTAATCACAAAGCAATAAAAGATAAAATAACATAACCAGAAGACACTAGCTCCCAACGATTGAAGATTTTAAAGTGGTTTTGTGTTTTTTTTCTCAAATCTTAGAACAGAGAGGAACTCCAAACCAAAGTTGCAAAATATTTAGAACATAACAATTATTAAAATATTACATATCAAAATCTGTGGGATACAGCTAAAAGAGTGCTCAAAGAAAAAGCTGAGAAATGCTGATGCCATTAAACGAGGGTAAAGCATGTAAATAAAGCAGGCATCTATTTTTTGGTTAATTTCGGGGGAGTGTGTGACTGACTGATGTGATTCAAACTCCTAGAACTGGGACAGGCCGAGAGGAAGCGCTCAGTAAGTATTTACGGAGTAAATGAGTAAGAGTAAACTTCAGAAAGGAAAAGGAATGAATTAGTAAAGTAAGATCAATTATTGATATATTAGGAAAAATAATAGCATCGGTAAGTATATCCCGACGGTTTTTTCCTTGAAAGAATAGTTAGGTAACTTAACTACAAAGAAATGGCAGAAAACACGGCTACACACACTAAAATGCAGTAAAGCAGGAGTAATCACAGACACAGCAGAAATCCAGTGAGTGTACAAACCCACTTTGCTCAACACTAAGCGAATTACATTTAAAGATCTGGAAGAAATGGATCATTTTCTAGGCAAATTACTTCACCCAAACTTAACCTCAGAGAAGACAGAAAATCTAAACTGACCAATTACTACAGGAAAACAAGGAGAACATTTTTGAAGGTTTATCCCCACAAAACACAAGGCCCAGATGCCTTCAAAGGCGAATTAATTCTACGGAATCTGCAAGAGCAAATGCTTTCAGTGCCATTTAAACTGCTTCAGACCCTGGGGGGAAAGGGCAGGAAGCTTTCACGTTCCTTTTATGAAGCGAGAAAACCCAACCCAAACCAACCCAAACCAAAACCAAACCAAGCAAAACAAAAACCCAAAAAACAATGATACCAACAACGGACAAAGATCAAACACAAAAAGAATATTGCAGACCAGTCTCACTGACGACTTTTAATGCTGAAAACCTACGTAAAACATCAGCACATAACGTCCTGCAACACATTACAGAAAGCAATGTACTGTGAGCCAGAGGACTGACTGCACTGTGGGGACGCGAGAACGATTCACGTCAGGAGATGGACCATCTGATCATTTCCACAGACGGTGAACAGCAAGCATCGTGTTGGATAATGTTCGACAACCATTCTTCATAAAATGTTTCATGAATAAAGAAAAGGCAGACATTCCTTACCATGATTAAATATTTCAGTCTTAACCCAAAGCCAGCCTCATGTTTCAGGCAGAAAAAACACTAGATGTACTCTCATTAAAGTCAAGAGCTTTACCATGTTCTTGAGGTATATGCCAATGTAATTATACAAGCAAAATGAACAGGAGGTATAAAAACTAGAAAGATGAAGGTAGAATTATCTATATTTTGGATAATATATAGTTATAAACCAGAAAAAATTAAGAGAACCTCAAGAAAGGAGTACAACAATAAGAATTAATTTTAACATCGTGAGGTCAAAAGATAATATACAAGTATCAAAAGCTTTCATATATATAAACAACCATCAGCCAAGAGCTATAAAGGAAAAGACTGCATTTATAATAACAACAAGAAATAAATATCTGCCCTGGCTGGCGTAGCTCAGTGGATTGAGCTCAGGCTGTGAACCAAAGCATCGCAGGTTCGACTCCCAGTCAGGGGACATGCCTGGGTTGCAGGCCACAGCCCCCAACAACCGCACATTGATGTTTCTCTCTCTCTTTCTCCCTCTCTTCCCTCTTTAAAAATAAATAAATAAAATCTTAAAAAAAGAATATACTTAAAAAAAGAAATAAATATCTAAGAGGAAATTTAACTTTAAAAATGTCTAAGATTTCTATTTTAAAAACTTACAGCACTCTTGAAGGCCACAAAATTGAAGCTCAGAACCAACAGCAAGGCAAACTGTGTTCTTTGTTGGGAATTCTTAATATATTGTAATAAAGATACAATTCTCCCAATTGTTCTATCAATGTAACGTAACCCCAATAAAGCTACATATATGTGTATCTATGTCACGTGTGTATTTAAATAGACAAACTGATGCCAATGTATTTCATATGGAAAAACAACTGCCAATAACAGGAACATTTTTAAGGAAAATTCTAAAAGTTTGTCCTATCAAATATTAAAATATGTTTAAAAGTACAAAACTTAAAAGACAGTGACACTGGAACATAAATTATATAGAAATGTATTGATATTGGTATAGAATAGGAGGTCTAGAAATAGCCCCAAACACATATAAAATGCACTCTACAAAGAGGAGCCACCCCAGACCTGTGAAAAAAGGACGGACTAATTCGAATCTGGAGTTGAGACAACAGGACAGCTGCTGGTGCGCGGCGTGGGAACAAAGCCACACTTTACATCTTACACCAGGTTGGATTCCAAACTGACCCAAAATCCAAAAGTGCAAAATTAAACCATGAAGTGAAATGGGATGATGAACCTCAGAGAAGTTACCTTCTAACCAGAGAGGGGAGCCCTGTCCAACTACAATACACAATCCAGAAGCCATAAAAACAAGGGCTGACAAATTCAACTACACAAATATCCTTTCTGTATAGCAGAGACAAAACCTAAAATATATTTGCAACTCCTACTCTAGGTAAATGGTTGATATCCCTAATAAAGAAAGAGCTCCTAAAAGTCAATGAGAAAAACATCAACTATCAAATGGAAAAATAGACACAGGATGAGAACAGAGAATTCATGGGTGAGAAACAGAAATCACTCTTGAAGATATGAAGATATGTTCAGCTCCACTCCTCAGAAGACAGGCACAAATTAAAGTTTACTGAGATACGTTGAAGTCACATGCCCTTTGCACCAGGAATTGAGCCCTATAGGAACATACCCTGCACATACACTCCATGTCCCAAAAATATACTCGTGTGTCCACCCAGACCTGTGAAGGTGACTTTTTGGAAAAAGGGCCTTTGTAGAAGTAATTAAATCGAGGATCTCATTGAGATGGGTGGGCCTTAACTCCGATGATAAGGGTCCTTATAGGAGACAGCGGGCCACCCAGGGCGGGAGTCGATGTGAAGGCGGAGGCAGGCCCTGGAGGGAGGCGTCTGCCAGCCCAGGCACTCCCAGGACTGGCAGCCACCACTGGAAGCGGGCAGAGGCATGGAACGGGCCCTCCCTCAGAGTCCCCAGAAGGAGCCAGCCCTGCCCACACCCGACCTTCGGGCTCCTGGCCTGCAGACCTGCGAGGGAATAGCTTTCTGTTATTTTAAGCCACCCAGTTGTGGCGCTTTGCTACTGCAGTCCTAGGAAACAGATGCACCCCCCCCGGCGTGGAGAACGGACTTGGAACACCACTTGGCGCAGCGCTGTTTGTGGCGGGACAAGACCAGAAACATCAATCGACCGAGAAACTCAAGGCAGTGAGTGGCACCGAGTGCAGGCATGAAGCACAAAACAGAGGTCCTTACAGACCGATACGCAGTGCTGTCTGCAAGAGTCCTGAGAGTAAACCAATGCCTCTCGAAACAGGAGTTTATCTACAAGGGACAAGACAGGCGAAGAGGACCCCATACGGGAGACTGCTTCCACCTGGGGTTAGCGGGCTCTGACCCACCTCCACGCCCAAAGGATGACCCGGAAGGCAGCAGAGCCCCGGGGGTGGGGTGGGGTGGGGTGGGGGGACACAGCCAGCCCGAGGTGGCCTCACAGAAAGAGAGGCAGTGGGTCCATATCTCCTGACTTCACTCTCTTCCCTCTCTCTGACCTCCCTTCTGACCACCCACGGTCCCCGACCCCCCACCCCCCATGGGCTGGTCCCAGATAGCAGCCTGGAGAAAGGGAGTCCTGTGAGGGGCTCCAGGTGGCCCACCCCCCAGGGCACAGGGCGGCATGGAGCACAGGGGAGAGTGCTCTGCACGGGCATGTCCAACTTCATCTCCAAGATATTTTTTTAAGATTTTATTTATTTATTTTTAGAGAGAGAAGGGAAGGAGAGAGAGAGAGAGAGAGACAGAGAGACAGAGAGAAACATCAATGTGTGGTTGCTGGGGGCTATGGCCTGCAACCCAGGCATGTACCCTGACTGGGAATTGAACCTGTGACACTTCGGTTTGCAGCCTGCACTCAATCCACTGAGCTATGCCAGCCAGGGCTCATCTCCAAGATTTTATTTTCTGAGCGAGGTACAGAAGAGTACACTTGGGGTCACACCATTTCAGTGAGAAAAACAATGTGTTCCATGTATGCACTGGTTACACACACACAGTGCACGGCTGGTGTGGACGGACCTGAGAGAAAACCACTGCATCTGACACTCTGGGGAGGGAACCCGAGGGGCTGAAGAAAAATGGTGAGGGGAAATTGTCACGGTGTGCCATGTTATACCTTTTGAGTCTCGAACCACTTTTTTAAACACTTCACTCTTAAAAGTTGAATGTCAACGGTCCCTGTAAGGGAGACCGCCAGACAGTGCGAGTTCAGAGTCACGGTAAATACCGGGGACCGGCCCCGAGGGGAGACGAGAAGGGCGCACCCACCTGTCGGGCAACGCCTGCAGCACGGTGGGCATCAGCACTCCCGAGATAGCTTTGTAGAGGATGGAGTCGCACACGCCGACGATGTTCACCACCGTGGAGGAGCCCAGCACGGGCAGCATGTGGGGCGGCATTCCTTGCCAAAAGTGCAGAAGGAAACTTTGAACCTGCACAGACCCGCAGAGAGAAGAACCATGAGGTCACACAGCGCCCCCTCGGCAGAGCCTGAGGACCCTCCCAGGGCCCACCCAGCCTGCAACGCTGGAGTCATCCACTTCCCCAGTAGCGGCCGGGGCCACCCCAGCCTGGTGTGGCTCAGGAGGCCCCGGGAGGGTCCTCCTGTCCCAAGTCTTGCCGCTGCCCACGCGTGTGGCCTGGCAGCCCGGGTTCGGGTCCGCCCCGGGAGGAGGTGAGCACATGAACCCATCAGCACCTGCATGCTTACCGTGGTCTGGGGAGAGTTTCAGGCAGGGAAGGCGGGATATTGTTTTTTTTTAAAGCTCAGATGACTGGAATTTACTATTGTTTGGGCCCATAGGTGCCCCAGGGGCCCCTGGGAGTTCCAGAAAGGAGGGAACAGTGTGAGAGCTGCTGTGAAGGGGAATGCGTCTGCGAGGGAAGAGAGCAGTACCACCAGCAAAAATCTCCAGATGCAAACCTGGGTGCCAAACACTGGAGAAAGTACGAGGGCCTCTTTCCATCCAAATCCCTCCGTTTCCCCAGAGAGCCCTGGCCGGCTGGCACCATGCTGGGATGCTGGATGGCGATATCTGGGCAGTGAGCTGCGGCCGCCCCATCCCAACCCCTGGCGGGGAGCAGAAATGCAGCAGGCGCTCGGACAATGTGAAGGTGTTATTAATATGATGACAGCAGGGACCCAAGCCAAACTGTTGATGAACAGATGGCAGAGCGGATGTCCAAAGCAGGGAACCGCCCCCCCCATGACCCCCAACACCTGTGTCTTTTAGTGTGTGAGCTGGAGGTCAGGGAAAGAGCAGAGGAGGGGGGACGGGGGTGGTTCCAGATCAGGGAAGTGAAGGGACGTGGTAGAAGGTAATGAACTTGTATATGTCATAACATTTTAAAGTATCTAGACTGCAGCCAGCACCAAGGAGTAGCTCATCTTGAAGTTAGGGGACAGCTGAGTTTTTGCGATCTCATGGGCTCAACTTGGTTTCTGGGCTAGGTGCTCTCCCCTCCTCCGCAAACAGGCACTCTCCCCACCTACTGCATTATCCCCACGCCTGGCTCCCCACAGCAATCCTGACCCAGTTCAGGAGGCAATTTAGTACCTGGCCCAGAACCCTGGAGGTGATGCTCTTATTGGCATCAGCTTTATTCACGGAATGCCTACTACCTGCCAGGTACTGTGCACAGGTTCTCCCACTTCACACTCACAGTAGGACTGCCGCTGAGAACCGTCACTCCCATTTTGCGGGGACATAAACCGATCTGTCCAAAGCCAGAGAGCAGGTCGGGGGACGGATGACAGACGGCTCGTGTCTGCCTGTCTCGCCACCGGGGCTGGTTTGTTCTTCACGAGGTAACTGGGCTTCCCCCCGCCTCCCGAGACCCATGTCCTTCCTTGAACTGCTGCCCGCTTTCCAGCTTTCGGCCCCTGCCCTGGTGGCCTGCTGTGTCCCTTCAGGCCCCGCTGAGCTGTAGGGTCTCGCTTTCCCCTCACCAGGCTACCCTACCCCAGCCTGGCAACCTGACCTCAGCCTCGGGGACAGACCTCTCCGACTTCTGTGGCCTGCCTGGGCTTCCCAGGGTCGGCACTGGATGGGACGCTTGGGGTGGGGTGGGGGGCGAGGAATGGGAAGAGAAGGTGTCCCCTGACTTGCTAGAGGGAAAACAGTAATTGCCGAAAACATGGTCAGGGTGGTGAGTGAAGTCAGGTTTGTAAACTGTGGAACTCCGGTCACCGTTCTACTCGTTCCATGACCATGGAGACACTGCAAACTTTTCATCCAGATTGAAAATGAAAACAAAAACAACCCAGATGAGTAAAGATTGCCTTCCAGAGTTCCTTACGTGTAAAATGGGAATAAAAGTAGGATTTAGTGCATAGGCTTTGGTAAAGACTCCTTAAAAGTATTTATTGTAGTGCTTGGTACATAGTAGATGCTTAATGAAGGTTAGCTATTTATTATCATCATCATCATTATTATTATTATTATTATTACATCGAGGAGGCACTAGCCCTGCTAGGCCCAAGGAGTCAGTGCACTGTCCGAGCACGTGGCACACCCTTGCCTAAGTTCTGAATGTCTCCCAGCCAGAATCCTAACTGCGGCTCTGCCCACCTGTCATTGGGACGCCTGGTGGCTGAGGGTTGGTCTGGCTGGGCCTGGAGACAGCCACATCTCCCGGACAAGGCGCTTGCCCTCCAGAGAGCCCTCTGCTGTCCCCTCACCCCAGCCCGTCCCTGGGTGCTGGCCTCCTGCTGGGTCCTGGGCCCCCCCGCCTGTCCTTCCAACTCCGAGGAGGGAGCTCTGCCCAGTAGATTCCTAAGAGCTGGCGGATTCTGAATTCATTTGCCATTCTAAGCTCTCCTCGCACACAGCCCTACTCTTTTTCAGATGAGCAGTCAATTTCTAGCAGAAATTCTGGAAAAGATCAGTGGCTGTGTGCGTTAAAACAAATCTGTGGAAACTCAGTCTCTCCCAGGCATCTGCTCACGAGGTGCCGGGAGCCCCAACAGCAGCGCTCAGCTCTGGGGCCGCCTTCGGGTGGTGGAGGCAGGAATGGGGGTAGCGGTTCCACCCAGTGTTGACCACCTTCCCACTCTGCATTCGGGGCCACTCAGTGTGCAAAGGTGCCGGCTCCTCGGAGTGAGAAGAGAGAGAAAAGAGGGAGGACAGAGCAAAGCGTAAGAGCTGATACTTAGACAAAGTTAGGTGTGAAACGGACAGGTTTCTATCTGCAGGCAGAGGCGCCAGGACCTCCTGACAGCCTGGACACGCAGCGGGAGGGAGGGAGAAGCATCGCCGTGTGTGGCCTGAGCGGTGGGGTGGGTTGCGGTGGTGAACTGAGACTCGGAACACAGATCTGGGGCAGAAAATCCATGCTCCGGTTTGCCCGCGTTGACTTACGCGTCAGCTGCATCTGGAGGTCAGGACTAAGTGCAGGAGGGTTGCCAGATTTACACAATGGAGACAACGTGCCTCCCTATCACCAGGGTGAGGTCAGGTACCTTACATAGAAGGCCTGGCATCGCACGGGCCTCGACCAAGTGGAAACTTCTTACCAGGCATAAGGAAGGAGTTCTGACCCTTTGCAAGCAGACACGGTGAAATAATCAGGGGCAAATGATTGAAAGTGATTATTTAAAGTAAAGTTTCCTGGATTACCCATTGCGGTCCCCTACTGGCAGGATTTGACGGACATGCGGACCAGACCCGGAGGCGGGAGGGTGAGCAGCTCCAGAGGCACCGGCCGCAGGTGAGCCTCGGGAGACATTGAACCCAAAATACAGGAAGGCTTTCCTTTAGTTTTTCTGCATCTGTAATCCTGACTGCAACGATACTCTGACAAAACCGTCTCCCTCAAAGGCCCACCAGGCAGGACGCAGCTCGCTGGTTAGACCAGGGAGAAGGCTGTGCCAACTGTGATTCCCACAGATCTCTAAAGCGGGGACAGAACGGCGCCTGGTTCCTAGGATCAGTGTGAGGGGCGAGGGGGCTACTAATGTGCACCAGGGGCTTCCGGGGGCCCCGGCACCTAGCAGGAGCTCGTGAAATAGGAGCTAGTTTCATTACAATATTTTAACAGTGTTCACAGCTCAGCACTTGTTGACCTACCTCATCAAAGTTGGCTCTTATTACAGTGTCCAGTATTCTCTGACAGTGTGTGCGGTACATCATAATAAAGGTAGAAACCTGTCGGAAGGGAGGTCAACAATAAAGGTATGCATTAACGCAGGTTACCACCGCCCTTAGAGCTTCAATTTTCAAGTCATTTGTTCCCTGATGAGGGGCCTGAGTCGGCCTCGCCCCTGCTCGTCCCCCTGACCCCGGTGAGAGCCGTTCCCATCAGGGACGCTCGCCGACCCTCAGCTCCCTCCTCCGGGCTCACACAGCACCCGAGAGGGGTTCTCTGTCGGCGCATTCGCCCTTGGTACAGAAAACAGGGGTTTCTCTCTCAGTCCCCATTCTCCACCCCCTGGCCCTGCGGGCTCTAGGAAAATAAAAGGGCTTATTACCCAGCATTTAGCACGGTGCCTGGCACGCAGCACTGTTTCGTAGGGCCTGTTGAATTAAAAGTTAATTCAACAGCTGACATGTTGAAAAGTTAAAACCTAGTGTGTGTTAATAAGGAGAGGTGCTTTTGCCAAAATCACAGAGAGGACGCTGGAAATCCTCTGGAATCTGCCTGGCAAAAGACTTTCCTCAAGAATTTTGAAGTTATGGTATAACGCACTATACCTACAAAATCTCTTTTGTCTACAAAACTTGACTCACCATATCCTCTGCGGCACATAGGAAAATAAACTTTATCCTTTAAACACCCAGTCTAGAGGAGAGGCGTCCCTCCTCTGTGGACTGACACAGTGCAGCCTCACAGACGGGTAGGTAGGTTGGTGGGTGGGCAGGTAGGTAGGTGGGTTAGACAAACTTTCTATTTTAGAATCATATTAAGATTTGCAGTCAAGTTTTGAAGATACTGCAGGGACTTCCCATACACCCCACGCCCGGTTACCTCTACTGTTACCATCTTATATGAATATGGTACATTTGTCATAACTAATGGGCTGATGCATTGTTATTAACTCAAGTCCACACTTGATTCAGATCGCTAGCTTTATAGTTTTTAACTCACCATTTTGCAATTAAAGTGTGTGTGTGTGTGTATGTGCTGTGTAACAAAGAGAGACCCCCCACCCACCCCCCGGGACCCTTCAGAGGTGGTCACCTTCTCCTCAGGCAGACTGGCCGGCAGGTTTAGGTCTTTGACATTCGGAAACTCGGGCAGCAGCGTTCCCAGCTTGGACCGGGGGGAATAGGCCACCGTCTGTTTGCTCACTTCTTTCTTGCCCGTCTCGCTCACCCAGGCGGCTCCTTTCTTGGAATACATCACGTCATAGTACTGGGAGCTCTCCTTCACTGCGATGCCGTAGTAGTGGTACCTGGGCCCCCGAGAGAAAGCCACGTGCACGGTTACCAGGAGGGGTGTCCTGAGCGGGGCGCGCCCAAGGCCAAGGGTGACGGGGCCCTTCCTCCAGGGGCTGGAGGAGCTGACTCTCCTGTGAGACCTGGCGGCTCTGAGATCTGGAACTGAGCCTACGTGCCATGTTGCCAGCCATCAATCACGCGGGTAAAAATAACCGAAACTGCCTCCTACAGAAAATACGAAGTCAAATACTTTGCAAAGCAGAAAAGGGGATGGAAAATTTTCCATTTGTACTTAGCCTCTTGTATCTAGCCTAGCGTGGCCCCAGGGAGACCGCGGTGGAGTTTCCCCTCCCTGAGGACCCGAGAAGAAGGGTGTTGTCTATGACTGCAAACCACCAGCGAACAGTAAACGATGGACTTAAGGAACTGTGCCTTTAAAAAGACAAATGCAGGGTTTCTGCTGACACTGAGTGTAAATCAAAGACCAGAACGTTTTACTGACTCGGAGGGGCCTCACTGATAGCGGCGTTTTCAATGGAGACTCGTGGACGGAGGCAGCATTTTGCTTGGATTTTAGACGTTAGCTGCAACCTATTGGGCACTCGCTCTGTGCTAAGCACTTGGCAACATGCTTGCTGTACGGGCGTTAATTTGTAAAATAATACTATGAGATGGGGATCGTTACAGTCTTTTTTTCAGATGAGAAAATGGAGGCAAGAGCGCTTAACACGTGCAAGCTTATACGGCTCTTTCAGGGAAGAACAGGCTCTGGAACACACGGGGCTGTTCCACTACAAAGCTGCTCGGCTGCGCTAATACCCCTGCAGGGCGGCATCGTAAGCTTTGATGTTTGTCAGAGCCATTCATGGAGCATAAAGAAATACAGATTCCTAGCCCCCCTCTCCAGACTGGCTGACTCAAAACGTGGGACTGGGGCCCAGGAATCAGTATTGAGACAGCCACCTCAGGGAATTCTGATGCACATCCGCTTGAGGCCGACTGGCCCGCTGGGTTAAGCACCTGCATCACAGTCCCAGCTCTGTGGTCCCCAGTCACCACAGGGACTGTCCTTATCTGCTATTGTCAACGGGATGCCCACCGCAGCGGCTCACAAGGCGCTAAGTACTTAACACACATTATTTCGTCTCCCCAAACCCCGTGAGGCTGTAACTAATGATCATCCCCGTTTTACAGACTAGGGAACTAAGGCCCAGAGAACTTAAATAACACACCCAAGATCACCCAGTGAGTTAGTGGTAGCGGCAGGATTTGAACCTCTAAAGTGCTCTTGACCACTAAGCCGGTGATTCTCAAACTATATTAATAGTACGAATCACCTACAGAACATATTGAAATACAGACTCCTGGGTCCCATCCCCAAAGAGTCTGATTTTGTAGGTCTAGAAGGGATTTTTACAGTCACACAGCAGTACCCATATAATTCATTAAGAAACTATAATTAACAGCTTCTGGACCTCGCTTCCAGAAACATGGCAACATAGTGAACTGTTCTTTCCTGCTCGTAGAAGTATGGCAGGTGATGGCCACAACACGATACCAACGAGAAAGCACTTTGAGTTAGGAGACAGCCTTCACAGGGAGGGGAGGGACAAGCACACAAAACCTTCCCTTTTTCCCGCCCCCGCGGTCCCCCCCATACCATTCTGAGATATTTCTGCTTAGTGGGCATCTCGCCTCTATCTGGACGCCTCCTGGGACGAAGTACCCGGGCGCTCCCAAGGCTTCCCAGTTCATTTTAGGTCGGTGTGGTTCTCAGAAAGTTCTCTCCGTGGGGAGAACGATCTGTCCTCCTCGCCTTCTACTTCCCAACTGTCATAACTGCCTTTCCGACCCAAAGCCAAAGCCGGGGCTGGGTGGGGGAGGGGCCGGGTTCCGAGCGCCCTGGAGGTGGGAAGGCCGTTATGACAAGCTTCCTTACCTTTGACAAAGTTCCCCTTCATCCTTTCTTAAGACCGAGACAGCAATAACAACTCTGATCAGACCATTTCTGGAATTTTCAGGGCGTGTGTGGCTAAAATCCTCCAGTGCAGGAAGCTATTGCTCTGATCACTTCTTAATGTCTCTGTTTCAGCTTTGGAGGGCAGGCCAGCACACTGGCCTCCCGCACCCCCACCCCCATCCCCATCTAGCTTGTCCAGGTAAATTTGCTTTTTGTTTTTTTTTTTTTCACTCTAAGGCTGAGAGGCAGGTTGGGGGCTAGGGCTCCTTATTACCTTTCCAATGGCTGAAGGTGATCAACCTTGGCGGATCCTCATGGAGAAAAAAACAATGAAATGGATGGCATGGATTTTTTTTAAGAAACATTCTCCGATTTGCCAACCTCGAGGTGCAAGACAAACAAACACCCCCAGGCTCTCCTGTGTAGACAGAGCAGCTCTCTCCAAGCTTATGTAGATGGGAAACCTTTCCGCTCTATCTTTCCTATTTCTACTCTTAAAAAGGGGCCCCAGTGTGACTCTCCATAGACCACAAGCAGGGGAAGAAGGATTCATTTCCATGCTTTCGGCATTCTTCCACCCATCCACTCGTCTATCTGTTCCACCAGCGCTGCCAGCTGCCCCTTAGGCACCAACCGCTGTGCAAGCAAGGAAGGAAGAATCTGGTTCTTGTACTCGATGCTCTTACCGAGCCTCAGACCTCATTTTAAAACAATCCTGCAATTTCTCGTTGCAAACAAGATTTGTTCTTCAGAGTAGCCACCTTGGAAGTTTATGAGAAATGGAATCCAAAAGGTCCCTGGCTAAAAAAAATTTTCTGCACAAATCTTTAATCGCGCCCCAGAGCTTTGGGCCCCACAGATAAATTACTCTTGGTATCTTTAGAACTTGACTGAAGAAGGTCTTTCCCAGTTTGATCACCCACTTCCTTTAACTTGGCTCCAAAGTTAAGCCCCGCTGGGTGGGGGGTGGGGGGTGGGGGTGGGGATGACCCAGGAATGGCAAGTGTGGGGGCAGTGAGAGGACAGCACTAGCACTGGACATGCTGCTTTTGACTCGCCCTTGCCCTTCCTGGGTCACAAGTCTTACAACTCCACGTGGTGGTGGTTTTTCTCAAGTTTCAGTAGTCCACCAGTGAGCGTGTGCTGCTCTGCTACTTAACAGGGCACCGTGTCTAGAAAGTCGCACACGAGGCACCCTCTGGTGGAGTCGCCTCGTGCACCGGCACGACAAAGGTCCGGACAGGTCCTGCCTCGAGGAATCTGTGTGAAACTCTGTGCCTACCAAACTCACGTGGCCACCAGACACCTTCCTCACGGACCACCTAGTGAAGTCCAACAGTTTCTGAACAGCCTCTGAGGCAGGTCTTGTGAGCGCAGACTTGGGTGGCGTCTAAGCAGTGGAGGCAGTGTCCCTTCCCACTGGCTCACACCTGGCTGGCAGGCGTCCATATGCCCCCCTCACTCCTCAGGTTGCCTCCTCACTCCTCAGGTCGCCTCCCCCACCCCCCTGAAAGCCTGTCTGGACCCACCCCCCTTCTGTTATTCTCCGTGCCAGCCCTCTCTGCCACAACCGGACAGCTTTTTCTGCCCGTCTCCCCCACCAGAACATACTCTCCATGAGGGCAGTGGCTTGTCTGGTCCTGTGTTCCCGGCACCTGGCCCCGTGTATCGGACACACAGGACGGGTGAGGCTGGTTGGCAGAGCTGAGGAATGGTAAACGGTGAGCTCTGGACCTTCCCGCCCCGCCACCCTCTCGGGGGTTCTTAGGACAGGCTGCTCGCTGGCTGGCTGGGTACTGGGAGCGCGGAGAGTTCACTCAGGGAAACAACAATCCGAGAAGCTACAAGGTGCTCCTTTAAATAATGCTCAGGACGATTTTACAAAAACGCCTAGAGGCAGGGCAGCTAAAAGTCAGGCTCCTTCAAGCATCTGGGCCAGCTGGCCCCGGGCAGCACCTCTCAGGGGTCCTGGGAGAGGGGGCCGGGCTGTCTGAAGCTCCTCTGTGCTCTGGCCAGACGCGGGCTTCCATCCAGGCCTGCGGACAGAGCTCAGGAAGCCAGGCCTGGGGCCAGGGCCCGTGCGGGGCGAAGGGCTTCGGTGCTTACTTGGACTGTCCTCGGGTCCCGAGTCTTCTGGTGGTTAACTGAGGAAACTGCTGCCTTATGATCTGCAAGTCAACACAAGAGTCAGTTACCCAGCGGGAAGGGCGGGAGCACAGCGGCCGAGTCTCACAAACAGCAATCTGGAGGAGGGGGGGACCCAGAACACATTACTTCCCTGATTAAAGCCCTTCAGTGGCGTCCATCACACCTGGAACTCAAACCCACCCCAGCCTCCGAACCTGATCCCCGCTCAGTCCTGGCCCCCAGCTCCTCCCCTTCTCACCCTTCCTGGCTGGGGCCCAGCCACACTGCCCTTTTTCCCTGTCCCTGAAACACAGCTGGGCGTGCTCCCCACTCAGGGCCTTTGCACAGCCGGTCCCCCTGCCTGCATTGCAAGCTCACCTGACCCTTAACCTTAGAGCCGGGCTCCTTCTCTTACAACACATGTGGGCCCCTGGCTGAGGTCCCGCTGCCCAGCCAGTGCACTGCCCCTCGCCATCACAGGCCCTGTTTTAAGGTCCTCTTCCCGCTTAGAACTCTCTGAAGAGAGCCTGTTCACTTACCCTCCGAGTGCTCATTTTTGTCACCTTCCCACCCCCACTAGACTGGAAGCTCCATGAGAGCAGGGTCCTGGCAGAAGTGAAGAGCTCAGTCCTTATTTGCCGAATGAAAGGATGACCCCCAACCCCAGCCCTGGAGAGGATGCTTTCCTCTTTTGCAGAGTGGAGGAAGGTAACTGCTGTTGCCTAGGACAACCACACAGACCCGCCAGAAACCTGGGAGGAGGGGCCGTCTGCCAAGGGGAAAACACAGGCCAGGGGCCTGGTCCTTGGCGTTTTCAGCGCTGGTGTCCGCGGGGAGGCGGGGCGGCGCAGGTTGGGCGCAAAGGCTCCGGAGCTGGGCCGCACGCAGGGATCAGATCCAAGCTTGGCCTGTTGTTAGCAGGACCCCTCTTGGGCAAGCTGTTTAACATTCAGATGACTCAGTTTCCTCACTTGTAAAATGGGAGTAACAATAACCCCTACCTTAGATCATTTTTTGTGAAAATCTAAAAAAAGTAAGGATAAGTAATTTGCAACAGTGCCTGGCATTTAGTAAGGCCTCAATCGTGGGTGAAAAAAATCTGCATTCCTCCCAAGAACGGTGAGAGAATCTCATCAGATGACAGCAGACAGCACTTCTGAAGGTAAAACAGGTTTCTAAAATGTTATCCCGCAGTGCGACAGTGAAGGACACGACGCGAAGGTTCTCTGAATTCCTTAACAGCGTCACTCTTGTAGGCAGCGTATCCCTGCTTCCTTTACCCCTAAGTCCCGTAAACTACGGGCGTGGGCTTCTCACTTTACATCCCGCCCCTCCCAAACAGTTGTGACCCGAGGACAATGCCAGGAACGGGCCAGACCCAGGGTCGGTGACAGGGCCCTGCAGCACTCCGTCCCCTGGTGCCGTCTGAGACCACGCCAGGGTCTGGTGGCCACGCCACCTTGGGCCACTAATTCTAACCTCTGGCCACGTGTGCCGGCCAGACTTCCACCTCGGGGCTGGTTTCGGAGCCGAGATTTGCAGCAGCTGCTCACAGAGGTACACTGAGGCACCAACACAGATGTGCCACAGAGATGGAGGGTAAATAGGGGAAGGAGAAATACGGGGCCACGGGAATCTTCTCGCTGGTTTTTAAAGAGTGGGTTAGGATTTGGGTTCTGATTTTCCTACCTACCCGAGCAAAAGTGATAATACCAAAAAGCTACAAGCGTCCCTGTATCTGTGAGATAAATGCATGCCAGTTGCTGAGGAAAAGCAGAGATTTTCCTATGTTTCTGTCTGGGAAACTTCTCCCGTGCACATGGGCACGACAATAAGGTGCCACACTGAATGCTCTGTGTGAGCCGACAGTTTACAAATGGACACGTCGCGCGCTGTCGAGAGCACGGTGGGACTGCACTGCTCGTATCTGGCTGATAACCTTGTTTGTGTGTGCGGCCCCTCCCCAAAGCATTTTTACAATAAAAATATCCATACTTCTTGATCTATTGATTCCAAGAAAATAATCTGAAATAAGAAAAAGCTGTGTGCAGGACCATTAATGAGAATGAAAGATTAGAAACAAATTAAACCTCCAGTGATAGGTAACTGGCTAAATAAATGATTAGCTATATGCTCAATAAAATATCGCACGGGCATTAGAAATGATGGTAACAAAAGCTACGTCACAACACAGAAAATGCTGACGACAATGTTAAAACGAAATAGCAGAACTCAAGCTATACTTATGCTGTGGTTATAACTAATGTTTGGACTAATATAGGAATGGAAAGGGAGTATGGAAAAATAAAAATGGATGTTTGTTAGGTAGAACAAAAAGGGTTTTGCATGACATTTGTATAAGAAATCAACTTTAAAAGAAAGAAAAAAGAAATCAACTTTTTTTGCAAGTAGAAAGGACTTTCTTACTAGGAATATGCCTAGTTGACAAAAGACATTCAAGCTAATTTTGAAAGAAGCACCAAAAATACACCATAATGTTAGTGATTATGATTATACTATAAAGTTAGTGAAAGTGATTGTCTTTTTCCTTTAAAAAAATCATTCCCTATACCCTGCAAACGACATAGTTTTTTAAAGTGGCACTTTGGGTGGGGTTGCTAAGTGTTAGTATTACTTCACTGGTGAGAATGGGCAAAGCTCTGAAACTTTTCCAAGTGTTTATCAGAAGAGTGTCCCACCTAACAGCCACAAAGCAAATGGCAGCACCCAGCCCTCGGCTCAGGGACCAGGGGCCACAGACTCTGGTCTTGAGATGTACCCAGCGCCCCTGGGACTGAGGACAGGCTTCTGGAGCTGATCGCTCCACCACTATGAGGCTAGAAAATGCACAACCTGTGAGTTTGTAACTCTTTACGATCTTGACGAGTTCCCAAGTCCCAGAACGGGGTCTGTGGATTCACTGATCAGCTGAACTCTGATCCCTCCACAGCTGATGGGTTTCACTGGCTCCTTCTGAATGCTGTGTGCATGAGCACACGCAGCTTTACCGCCTTTGCCACCAGCATCCCCTCCCGCTGCCGGTGCCCTGTTGGCTCCGCCCAGGCCGTCTGCGGAGCCCAGACTCTTCCTCTCCCGCGCCGCTGCCCCCCACCCAGGACCTCTCGCCTGGACCACAGACGTGTCCTCCTAGTGGGGTGCCCTGCCTTCCGTTGTGCTGCCCCACCAGCAGTCAGATCATTTCCTGTTGAAAACCGTGGTGCCTTCCCGCCACCTACAGCGGATAAAAGTCCAGCCCCCTGGGCTGGTCCACGAGGCCCTGGGTGACCGGCCCCAGCCTGATTCCCCAGCCTCCCACCCAGCCACCCACCCCACCCCGTACCCACTCCCTGAGCTCCAAGCCACACTCTTCCCTCTGCCTGGAATGCCAGGCCCACGCTGTGCCCCGCTCACCCCTGAGGAACTCCTCTCTTCTGCTCAGCCCCTCCCACTCCCCCCTGGGGCCCTTCCATGAAGCCTTAGAAGCACGCCTCTGCCTTCCCAGCCAGCTGGGAGGCCGCAGTATACACAGTGGTTAAGGACACGGGCTTTGGGGTCAAGTCCTGACTCAGGCTCTTTGCCAGTGACTTGACAGGTATTATCTCAGGTAACCATCACAACAAGCCAGGTCCCACTGCCATTCATTCCCTCTGCACAGTCAACTGAGGTTCAGAGAGGCTAAGTAACCCGCACGTTGTCACACAGCTCACAAGATGCAGACGTCGGATTGGAAGTACCTGGTCCGGCTACCACAATATTACTGCCTCTGGATGAATGCAAGTGCCCCAGAGCCCCTCATTCCTTCTTTTAACGGCAACCTTTATTTCTTTTATCTTATAGTCTTGCATTTATACATGTTAGGTGTATGTGAGGAGTGAAATAACATCTTGTTTCCATCTACTGTCCAGGGGAGATTTCTGTTCGATTCCCCGACTTTTACCCTCTCGGAGGAAATGTGCTGGTGGCCTCTGCTGTGAACAGGGTCTGAGAGCTCTGTCCCCAGACCTGCGAGGGGAAGAGGGGCGCAGCTCAGAGGGCTGTGATGTCAGCAGGCAGCCTGCCGTTTCCCCTTAGATGAAATCTACCCGCATCCAACAAAGTGGGAATAGGACAAGTAAACGCTTCTCCGCTTAATAAAAGTGCGAAGAAAAGTCATCTGTCTGGACAGCGGAGGTCCCCGAGGGAATCGCCCAGATCATCGCCCGTCTGTCTGCTCAGAGCCCCGACTGCTCTCCACGGCCGGCTGACTCGGCAGCGTGCCCAGGTACCACCGTGCAGCTCCGCTCCCGGCTCCCGCCTTCTCTCTAAAAATGTCCTCTCGGGAGCCCCGGGCTCCCTTCGGATCAGACTACTCAGTGCCCATCGATTCTCTGAATGGTTCCCGGCTTCTGGGCTCCACACCTCTGCACCTTCTTCTACCCGCCACTCTCTCCGCCTCCCACAGGCAACTGCCCCCACCCCCCCCCACCCGGTGCGCCCTCCCACCCTCCTGCCCAGCGGGCTCCACTCCTCCTCGAAGAGCCCTCCCGATCTCTGACCGGGTAAGAGCTCTTCCTTCTCCACACCACGGCGGCATCTGCTACTTGCCATCCATGACCAAGTTCCATCCTTCCCCTAGGTGGGAGGAATCCTGATTCTGCCCACACTTGCCCGTCTCTGCCAGTCCTGGCGCCATGCTCTCGGGCCTGGGTGGCTGCAGCGGTCTCCTTATCACCTCTGTGTCCAGTCGTGCCCCAGCACGATCTTGTCTCTGTGAGGCCTCTGACAAAGCCCACACCCCCCAGCTTCTGCTGGACGAGTCCTGTCTTCATCCCAGCTCGCTTCGCCGCCTCATCCTCTCCCTATCGCCCCGTTCCGGCCACATGGGACTTCTTGCAGGTTTATGACCACACCGTGTTCTCTCTTCCCCTGGCCTTTCCCATAGGCTGTTCTCATTTTCTGGAACCTTCTCTCCATGCCCTTTGTCTGCATAATGTCTACTCATCCTTCAAATCTTAGCTTGTCCTTTATGTCCTTCCTCCTGGGCCACCTGTATGGTTTCAGT